TGTGTGCGTGAGCGTGTCGGAGTGTATTGTGTGAGTAAATATGTATGTCTGCGTATTACTAAGTATGTGTGCGTGCGTGTGAATGTGTGTGTATGTGTGTTTGATATCCTACTATATCATTCTATATCAGGGCCAACCCAGGCCCAGTAAAATAAATATATTATTCAGTTTTAGTTTTAGTAAGTGTTTTACGGCACTTGCAACACAATAAGGCCATATAAGTGCTGAAGATTAGAGGTGTTACAAGAGAGAGAGTAACAAACACAAACAAGAAGGAGGAGAGATAAGGACGATAGATGTGTGATAGGAAAGAAGAAGCAACTCACACTAGAGCACCCGCCAACCACCCACAAATATATTCAACCTCCCATGGACAGAGTTACTCGATGAAATACCTTCTAAACATGAGAATAAAAGTCATTCTGCATTCCGTGTGTAACAGCAAATACTTATATATATCACTACACAACAGTCGCCTGTGGTTACAATGGAATAGAAACTGGAATGAAAGAAGGCAAAGATAGAAGAACACAGGAAGAAAAAAAAAAGGAAAAAGAAATTGGAATGAGAGAAGGTGAAGGTAGAACAAGTCAAGAAAAGAAAAGAAGAAAGAAACTGGCATGGAATGAAAGAAGAAGAAGATAGAAGAATAACGCAAGTACAAAAAGAAAAAGACGAAAGAAACTGGAATAAAAGAAGGCGAAGATAGATTAGATGAACACACGACACAAAATGAACGACAGAAGGCGAAGACAATACATTGTACATCACAGGTGTTCCTAGCACCACGTCGTACGATGTACGTGTGAATCACATAGAGTGAGGGATGCAGCCATGCGTGCTATTTTATTGTTACATTATTATCTCATAAGTATATTGAGTACTCTCAAGTGTGTAAAAAATACTAATATTTTTCGTTAGAACGGGTTGGAGTTATTTCACACTGAATGCGTCCGTGGGCGTGTGTGTGTGTGCGTGTGTTTGTGTTTGTGTTTGTGTGTGTGTGTTGTGTGCTTGTGAGTATGTGTGTGTTCGTGTGTGTATGTGAGTGTGTTCGTGTGTGTGAGTGTGTTTGTGTGCGTGTGCGTGTGTGTGTGTGGTGTGTATTATGTGTCTCTCTCTGTGTGTGTGTGTGTGTGTGTGTGTGTGTGTGTGTGTGTG